CATAACGTCTGATGGCATGGTTCGAGTGAACCTGAAAAGGACTGCTGTCGGCGACAATGATTGACGTTTTGACATCGTGAGCGGAAGTCATCATTAGAGTAAAGGGCCACTTGTCTTCCGCTAAGCACGTTGTTACGTTACTTATTACTACCGAGAACACTCCTTCTCAAGACTGCTCTCACCTGAATAATCAAAGCACACAATCAAATGCTTTTTATAAATTCCAGTCAAAATTTAAAATTAGATCATCTTAGGAAATTGTTTATTCAAATAGAAGAGGTTCAGCTTACGTTTTAGAGTGATCTTGAAGCTACAGGTGGCTCGATTTCCAGCCGGATCTTCCGCCGTACACTCAACTAAAGTTGCACTAGGAACAGAGAAGAGGTCTCCACTATGCCGGTTGCATCGTATAGCGGGCTTCACACCAGAATCGTCCGTTGCTTTAGGTGCAGACCAGTGAACATGGATCTCATTCTCTGTTGCTTCTTTTGTGATGCACTTCGGGCAATCCGTGAAAACTGGCGCTTGTTCGTCTAAAAAGATAATGAGAACGAAATATAACTTGTGTAATTAGCGGCGGTAGGAGTCAGCATCTTGTATGATAGTTTTAGCCTCTTTTCCACAGCTCTATAGCAACTCAAAACGTCTTGCATCAAACGTCTACAAACAGTTCAACAGCTATGTAAAATTTCTCGATAACAATCTTTTTGTACGATAAGTTGTAATGCGCCATTCCCATCTTCTTCATTCAAGATGACGAGATGGCTGGGACCTCTTACCTTTTGATGCTATCGTAAGGGAAACGAGAAGAGCTTTCAAAATGAAATAGTAAGAAATCATCTCGAAATGCTAATGACTTCTCTCAGTGATATGACGCGGTGAGATCAGTTATCGAACAAATGAAGACTTCAAAAGACAGTTGTTACGTGGTGTTGAGGGGAACTATGGGATTATTTACGCAGCTGTCTTTGTCTGTTTTGGTCACAGGTGCGACTTTTCCGTCGATCCTTCAATTTAGCAGGCAATAAATTACTCATTTTCATGTGTCACGTACATGGTCAATTTGACGAGAGCAGAGTGAGGCTTCTGGGATTATGCCTCATCCATTTTGCAAAATCACAAACGCGTAAAATTAGTGGCATCAAGGAATTGGACTGAGGTGAGACGTTACTAAAATATTGGCAGAATCTGAAAGTACTTAATGACCCAAGTGTTGCATTTTAGGCTTAATAACTCAATTAAACACAGGTGTAATTGTTGACAAATGCAAGAATAAACGTGGGCTTAATCGACTTTAAAGGCAACGTTGAATATTTTTGACTTTTCCGAAAAATTATTCCGAAACAAGAAAACAAATATAACTCCAGCCGTGTTCCGGAATAAAAATAACGAAGCGTTATGGAAAATGGAGGGTTTCACTCGCTTTGCTGGATATCTGTCGCTAAGACGTAAAACAACATTAGTTTTGTCTTCTCTTTTAAAACAAAAAAGGTTATTATGTGTGTAAATTTAGAGCAATAGCAACTCAGGAAAGCTGATGTCTCGAACAATAAGATTGACAACATTCTTGTGCATTAGTTTCAGGTTTACTTTTACCGCAAAATATTAATAAACACTGGAACAGCAAGAAAAAGCTTGCTAAAACGGCAAAAGTACAGAGGTTGTAGCCACGAGAGTTATTTTTTATCCATTCTGTCGTTCGTCTTTGTTACTTTAATTAGTGTAAATAGTTCTCGCCTCGATAGTTTAGTTCGGTATTTATTAGTTTGTATTTTTCGTGCTGTCAAAATGTAAATTAAGTTTGTCAGCGTTGTTTTATGTAATCGCCTTTGTAGCGTCCACTCTTAGCTACTTGTAATAACAAACAACTTCGATTGATGTAGGCA